CGCTTTCTTTTCTTTCTGTGTAATCACCTAAGCTTTAATTTCAAGTTTTAAATTATAAAACAGCTTTTTCTTACTGAAAAAGAGACTATACTTTAGTCTGAAATATATAGACCATCTGAAAGAAATATATAGGAATAGTTCTTTAGTTCTTAAGCACAGAGAGCTGACTATTCTATGAACGGTTGGCTACATATCCTTCCAATCTTTCTTTACCCAAAGATATATACAAAATTTTTTTCTTTAACAATCTGTGTATTGTTTTCTAATGTGTTCTTTCCACTTTTAACCATGTAAGGTAGGACTGCCTGCTGCTTTCGGGCACTTTCTTGTATGTAACTCTAGCAATGGGTTACATCTCACTTAATCTAGGGGCCAGATAGGAAACATAAAAAAAAAACGGGTCAGGTGATGAGTGGCTGGTGGCAGGGGGCTGCACTTAAGCAGAGATCACACATCTTTTCCAAAGTGCCAGCATGTCCGAGCTCCAGCCTACTACTGCCCTCCCAGTACAGGACCCATACTGACTGCCTTCTGGCTCTGTAGAGAGCCCAGAAATCCAGATCCACATATGAAACATTCCAAATGAATGCTGTGTTCACTTTGGCTTGTGTCGCAGGAAATGCATCTTCACATGGACAGGGCCTAGCTGCAGTCGGTCTCCTCCTCACACTGTGCTGGGCGGGTACAGCCCTGTGACCTCCTGGCTCAGATTCCACAGCACACAAGCACAGTTTCAGTGAGACAGAAACAGAGACCCAAGGGAAGGGGCTCAGGTGTGGCTCACGGGGTGACTCATGTCTCGCAAGATGAAAATGGCTCAGTCCTGCTCCTAGGGCAGAAGTTTTAAGTGAGGTGATTACAGCCTTGGGGTACACCTGAAGATAAAAGGGGGCACTTACGTTAGAACAGGGAGAGGGGGCTAGTGGGGTGAGTAGACTCAGGATGGCAGCCTACCGTGCAGATAACAGAGCATCCCCTGTCCCAAAATGCCAGTCATGGCAATGTTAAGAGGCCCTGCATGAGACCAGTGGGCTCTAACCACCTTGGTTATCTGTCAAAAATGGAGGAAGGAGCTTTAAAAAATCCTTACTCCTGGATCTTATCCTCAAACAAGGAAATCAGAACCTTACGAGTAGCCTCAGGCTTCCCGATTCACATGCTCCAAGTGACTGTAACACATAGGTGGGATCAGAGGCTCCCTGCATGAATGCAGGATGGGGTCAGCCCCTGCCCCTCACAGAACCCCCAGTGCTTTGTTGAAAACAAGTGCTCCATATGTGTTTGTCAACTGAATGGCAGATGGATTAGTCATCTACCGTTAGTACCCTACAAACTGCCATGCCAGGCTTGTGTTGCTTTTCAACATTCTATTGGTGACTGATATAAGCTGTTTACTTTTTTTTAAAGTCAATTATTCAGTACATCAAATGGATACAACTTCCAGCAGTCGGCCACGTACGATGCATTTTCTGCTGGAATAATTACTTCTGAAAGTGAAAGGTACTAAGACAATCTGGACAATATATTCACGCCAAAGGAAGCTACGAAATTAACTCGCAATCTTTTTGCCACCCCTTCTGGTCATATTTGATGAGAACATTTAGAAATCATTCATTAAATGCCGGCCAGGAACCTTCCAGTGCTATCACTCAAGAAGTTATGGAAATCAGAAACCTCTCCAAGGCAGGAAGGAAAGTCTGCTATGAGAATACTGCTAGCCCTGGCCGGATTTCTCTTCTGTTCGGACCTATCTGACTGGTTGAGCTGTGGGAAATGCTCAAATCCTGATGAATATTATGAAGCGGTGGGACATGAGGGAGGGTTAGGCTGGGGTCAGTGCCACCCAACTGACAGCTGGTCAGTTGCTGTTCAAAACAGTGCTGTCATCACCTGTCGCTTCTCTGAGGTCAGGATGGGGCCCAGCAGACATGTAGGAAGCTAGAAACCTTTACAGGGAGACACGGCTGTCCCTGGGAGTGTGACAGAGACACTGCAGCAAATCAGTCTTCAGAACACGGGAGGTGAGAGCTTTGCTGGGTGAGAGCAGGAGTGGGGGCCATGGGCAGAAAGGGTGCTCCCAGGCCTGGCAAAGTGACATGGTAGGGGAAGACTTCCTTTGAGTTTCAAACGTTAAGACAGGGTCTAGCCAGGGAAGACTGTCTCAGATAGCGTGGAAGGAATCACATGTGCAAAGGTCCAGAAGCAAGAGGGAGCTTGGGGTTCTGGGCAATGGGAAGAGGTTCCCCTTAGCAAGGGGCTCTTTGAGAGGCCTGTAAACAGGCTGGCCTGACTGCGGACAGCCTGGATGAAAAGGTCATTTCAAGTGGAAAAGAGCCAGGAATCCTAGGAAGGGGAGACTCAGAGTGCGGAGGAAGACGCCGGGTTGGCATTGGGCATTATCTCTGTTCGACCACTAACCTCACTTCTAACTCCGGACTGAAAAGCGCAGAGACTCCCCAGATGACTGAGGCATCCATGACGGAAACAGATGGGCTGGGCTCAGATGTGAGGCCAGCGGGACTGAGGGAGGAGGTAAATTCACGTCCCACAGCCGGGGACTCCGGGCCTGGAAAAAGAATCTGTGTGCAAAGGGGAAAGAGGAAAGAGACGAGGAAGCCTTTTGCAGCAAGAGAGCTTCATCACCCACTGGGAGGGAGATCAGAACGAAAGATAGAGGAGGAGGAGGACGGAAGGAGGGAGGCAGCCTACCAGGAATATAATCCACCGTTTGGCATTTTTTCCAAACCCTGCAGCAGAGATTTAAATGACTCAAATTATCCTGTGCTTATTTCTGGATGCCATCCTAGGATTCCTCTGACTCTTGGCCAAGCTGCCACTGCCGCGAGTGACACTGGAAGGAGCTGTCACCTGCCCGTACTGGGGCTCCTACCAGAGCTAGCTGCCACGCCAATCCTTAACGGTATGGCTGTTTTCACAGCTTCACTATTACAGGTGATGTTTTCTGGGAGGATCCTGGCTCTGTGTCCCCAGATCCTCCTGTCTAAAGCCAGGGCATCCAGAGATCTCCTGTATGGGGAAGGAATGGAGGCCCCTGGGGCGCGCTGGGGTCTCTGCCTCGTCATTGCTGGGGGAGAATGAACTCAAACTCCCTGCCTCCTCTGCTCCCCTGATGATTTGGAGCTCCCAGGGACGGGGGAGAATGCTGTGCCCAGAGAGCAGCAGAGGAGCCTGCGGTCCTATAATTGCACCCCATAGCTTTGCAGTTTCAGCAGCCAGGAGCGACCACAGACTTGGTTAGGTTTCTATTCAACAAGGCTCCTGGACATGCAAGAGCAGGGACTGCAGTTTTAAAGGATATGTTTTGGTCAGTGCATTCCCCGCAGTAAAGACCTATTTGGTCTCAGGACAGCAGGCCATGAGAGGTCAATGCAGGCCTCGGGATAGAAGGAGAAGTGAGGCTGATTTATAACATGGCTTTTTGGATATTAAAATGTTAATGAAATTGTTATGAAAAATAAGAACTTGTGTTTTTGTTTTATCCGTTCTCAAGGCCCCAAACCTTTTAAAATATTTATTCCTACTCTTGTTAAAAAAAATTGCTTTATCGTCTAATTTTTTTTTAAATCATTTCCTCCCATCTGGCCTCCCCCACCATGGTGATTTATTTTATCTACAGAAAATATTTGGCCAGGAATCCAAATGTTAAAAGCATGGAAAAATGAAATCTTTGAAAATGAAAATAAATGATCCATTTTTCTTCTTTTCCGAGAAATTGCAGCTCTCCTAAGATCTGGGATCTGGGAAGGAGAGGAAGAGTCTGATTCTGAGTCTCCCTGTCCCAAGAGGAGCTGCCTCTGCTCCGTGTTCACCTTTCTGTCCATGCATGGTGGGGACATTTAAAAAGCACTTCTGGGTGGCAGGGGCCCTTGCCTGAGAAACACAAAGATCAGAGCAGGTGACAGACATGCATAGTGAGCACTGTGGTGAAATGAGACAGGAAAGGACATGTGCCGGATTTCAGAGGCAAGAACTCCAAAGATGAGGGAGGGATGGGATTGTTTCAGAGGCAGGGGCTTTTGAGTAGGGTATCAAGAGGAAAGTAGGAGTTGTCTGACCAGAGAGAGAATCACAAAAGACAGGTTGCACAAACTGAAAACAGGAGCTGAAACAAACTGAAGACACCCAAGAACTGAGCCCAGGGCCTGGATCTTCTCTCCCAGTTGGCAGGGTGGCATCTGGAAGGGTCCCCTGCAGTGACACAGAGACTCTCCTGGCTGCAGTGGAGAAGACTGAGGGGAAGGGGCCGTACTGGGAGGCAGGGAGGAAGCCACTGCCCTGGTTCACTGGAAGGCTGGCCCTGGGCAGCAGTGCTGTGGACACATCAGGCAGCAGGTGTGAAAGACGCAGGAGAGCAGGGGCACCATGACTGTGTTGCCAGTCTCTCTGCCTTGGCTTTTCATGCCAAGAACACAGAAGGCTTCGGGCTTACAGCCAACTGCAAAAGTCACGTGGAGAAGAAAAAACAAAAGCAAAAACCTGTGGTCAGGAAGATGGAAAAAAGGTAGGAGGCATTTACTGAAAAAAAGAAAGGAAACCAAATAGGGAAGGCAGAGGGCCTCAGTTCTGAAAGAGTTTTGATAAGTCACTGCCTGGTCTTTAACATCTGACAGCGGTGCCCTCACTACCTGTGCAGACGGGTGATTCCACTGACAACTTGTGTGTGTGCCTCGAGCGAAACCTTTCCCTCTGGCTTCACACACACAGCTGCTTTTGAGTTTTTACTTTCAGTTGTTTTGTGCGGCTTCTAGAAACCCACTTGAAGCAAGCAGTGAGAAGGCCCGAAGAGCTGGTTGATGTCTCATCCTCCTGACTGAGGCGACGCCTCTACAGCAGCACACAGGCTGTGGAAGAGCCTCAGGGGCAGTGAAGAGCAGTGTGCGCCCTCTGTGTTCCCTCACCCATCCCCTGGCCCCTGGGCTGGCAGCTGCTCTGGCCGCCTGCTCTCCCGTGCCTTCTGCCCATCCGAAGCTCCCCATTACCGTGCTGTTGCAGCCTGCAAAACAGGCTGACAAGTAGGTGACACCGTCTGCCCCACACACCGGAGTGAAGGAATCGGTTTGGCATTTGCAGTTCTTATTGCAGGATGAGTTGGGGTTCAGGGCCAAGCCACGCACTGAGCTGGAGAAGAAGGGAGACACAGAGTCCCTTAGAAACAGGTCTGTTTGCGATGGGACATCCCTAGCAACTGCATGGCGGGGACCAGACACAGGGCACCTCTCGTAGCATTCCACCCCAGCCTCTCTTCCCATCTTAACCCTCCTCATCTTGCACAGACTGGTCCAGGGCCCCAGCAGACTGTGCCTGGAATGAGGTATGAGCTTCAGCTCCTCTCCTGGAGGAGGAAGAAAAGACCCTCTGATCATCTGCACCCCCACTGCCCTCTGGGCTGGTGGCAGCTGGGGCTCAGCCCAGCGTCACCCCTCCCATGATGCCAGCTCTCCCCACCATGGCTGAGTGCTGAACTTCCTCCCCTCTGGTTCTGTCCCGCAGACAGGAAGCCTCATGGTGGTTATGACAGCGTCACAACTCGACTGGCTTCAGTAATTACTGTCTGACTGATTCAGTATCCCAAGAAAACAACACTAGGATGCTTTTCATTTTCTTTCTTGTCATTAAAGGCATAATTACCCAGAGCACACAAACCAAGGAAAGAGAAAAGGCGTGGAGAGGGTGGCTCTGGTTTGCAGAGAGAAAGTGTCTCTTGTTCGGCTCTGTCCCTAGGGCTCAGGGCACCACAGAGGAATAAAGATGATGATGCTTTGTTAGTGACATCCTGGGCTCAGCTGAAGCTCTTCCACATGGTATTTCACTTACCAGGAGAACTCCATGGGCTTCAGGGAGAAGGAAACTGAGGCACAGGAAGGTTGAGTCATGTGTCCAAAGGGACACAGCTCGAGAATGGGGGCAGAGGGAGTAGAACAGCTGCAGGGTGACCACAGGTCTCGCACGTGCTTCTCCCCTTGTCAGTGACTGTGTTTGCAGTCACTACACTGTACTGCATATGAGTGTGAGCTGGGACTGACAGCAGGTGTGAGCCAGAAGGTGACACACCTGGACAGGGAGGGAGGGGACCACGGGGAGGGTTAGAAGAGGCCACTCAGCCGTGGTGCTGGCAAAGAAGCAGAGGGGAATACGGTGCACGAATGACTTATAGATGCACAGAGAGCTACCTCTGTTTTTGCCTCCTTTTCCTGCTTTTGTGGGGGACAGAGCCCTGGCTGTGCTGTATCCTCTGGTTTAAGGGCAAGAGCAGACCTAGTGGAGGATCCTGGCTGTGGGGAGCAAGAAAAGGGTAAGCTGCAGGCCACCATGCTCAGTGTCAGCCTCCAAGCTGGACTCCGTAGGCAGCCTTGGAGTCCTACACAGGCAAGGGGACCGAGTCCAAGACTCTCAGTCCTTCCTGGGTAGGGTCATCGTGATGGTGGTCTAAAGACTCAGGATATGAACCAGGAAACCAGGAAGAACTAGCTAACTTCCGGCTCAACCTCCCGCCCTTCCCTCTGCCTGTTTTATTTCCTTCCCTTTCTCTCTCCAGCACTTGAAAATAATGACAAGGGGCCAGAGCCTGGGAGGGGGATGTCAGCTTCTCATAGGCAAGAAATTACTGAAATCGATTGTCTTCTGTTTAAGTTTTTAAGGCTGAATTCTGAAATATATTTTCATTTTTTCTCTTCCCATCATTCCTAAAGTTCCAAAGGCAGCAATGTGAGTGATCTCCAGGGCAGGGGAATCCCCCCTCCTCAGGGTTCTACTGAGTGCTTTGTGGAAAGAGTCTAATTCTCTGACTCTGGACCTCCACTCAGTAGCTGGAGCCTGCGCTGCCTCTGTAACTCGCGGTGGACAGCCAGCCTTGGAATCCCCGGGCAGACAGGGGAAAAGCTGCCATTTCCCATACTCACCTGTTTCCATAGGGAACAGTAACGCCAGCCACAGGGCCATTATCACAGCCCAGGAAAAGGAAGGAGACATAGCAAGCCGTAGACACCAAGTTGACGAGCATGGCCATTCGGATGGCCCCCAGGGCAGACAGGCTGAGCTTCTTTACCAGGAGGCCACCCAGGAAGATGCCCAGGCAGGCGCACGGGATGGCTGTCATCCCTGGAAGGAAAGCAGGTGGAGGGCCATGAGTGGGAAGGAAAGGCTGATCCCCACAATCCCGAGGCCAAATACTGAGTGTCCCCAGTGATTCCACTGTGGTGTCATTGCGTGGACAGAATGCCAGGGTTTTAATTCTGCCCAAACAGCTCCCAGAAAAAGGCGAGGAATGAAACAAACATCAGTTAACACGCGTGTCATTGCACACATCTGGGAACCCTACTGGACACTGCACAAGAAACACACACAGCTTATGTGGGTACAAACAAGAGCAAAGCCAGACCGGAAGCACCGACAGGCACTCCACACCCACAAATACGATGGAACAGGGATGCATTCTGTGCCTCTCTGGGGTGATGTGGGAGGGGGCCCACCACCATTTGGGTGATTTTCTTTTCCTCTTTAAGGAACAGGAGTGAGGGCTCCACGGAGGGCTGGGTCTGGTTTAACTTGAGGTGACAGAGCTCACCAGTCAGCAAACCATCTTTTAAGCAGCTGCCTCTCAGGATGTAGCATCAGTCAAATCAATAGTTTTGGCATCTCTTGGTGAGTAAATGACATGCATATATATGTTTTTCTCTCTTGCTCATATGCAGAGCTATCTATAAGGCAGCAGGTCCTAAACCTGCTATTTTTGATTCTCAGAGACCCATGGAATTGTAGGAGAACCAAAGGATCTTAGAGCTCCAATCTCCTGTTTGGTTTGGCTCTGTTCTGATTAATTTCATCTACAACTCTGCTTTCAATTACCATGTGTCATTTATCTACAGTGTAGATTATGCATGGCCAATTTTCCAGTCCGGCCTGCCTCTTCCCTGCCAATCAACCAACCTCTAGGTCAATCTACTACATCAACCAGCTGGTATGTGCTAAGGGAATGCAAATTAATTTTAATATTAGAGTAAGAAAATGTAATCAGGGAGGCTTAGCTCAGCAAGAAAATAGCACCAGTCATACTTAAAACAACACACACCTCTGTGTCATCTGCTGTTGTTAGCAAATCTGTGCTTGGTTTCCCTCCCTTGGTACAGAAATAATCTTCACGAGGTAGCCCTGCATGTGTTCATTGTAAGCCACAACCCTTCCCACTCACTCTTCGCTTCTTTCTTTCATTCCTTCCTCCTTCTCTCCTTCCCTCCCTCCCTCTGGGAAAGGTCAGTGAGCCCAGGTGCCCAGGGCTCTGGAGCTGCAATGCACATTCTTGGCAGCCTGGCCTTGTGTCCTTCTCTAGAGAGGACCTGCACCAACCCTGGGGTGCTCTGTGGTTCTCAGCCAGTCTTACTGTTTCCAAGGCTCTCCCTCCTGTCCAAAGCTGCTTCATTCATGTTTTTATTTTCCCTTTTCTTGTTCTTGCTGCCTGTTTTAGGAGGCAGCTTTCCCAAGCACCAGAACCTCTTGGTTCTTTCTGTTCAACCCAGCCCAGTCTCCCAGTGTCTCAGTACAGAACCTGGTAAGGGATGGGCACTAGGGCATCTTTTCTGGAATGAATCAATTAGCTCAGACTGGATCAGTGTGAATGATCGTCAGTGACATCATGCCCACATCCAGAGAGGGGCCTGTGTTTTGTCTCATTTTCTAGCACAGGCCACTGGGGTGTTGCCTAGTGGTGACGGTAACCATGGCAATAATAGGCTTTCAGGCACCTTTCCTCCAAGTCATCGTCAGCCTCCTGCTCCTTCCCTGATGTGTGTGCCGGTCCTTAAGGCTCCAGGTGGTCCTCAGCGCTGCCCCACCAAAACTCCATCCTCATTACATCAACTTGAGCAGACTGGATTCTTTTTACTTTGCTCATAAATCAGCAGCATCAGCCCCTCAGTCATCTGTGTTGTATTGTGTTGCTCTTTTCTGACTCTGCCCCATTTGCTGGTGCATCGTAGGTGGCCCTGAGCCCTATCATGATGCCCCAGGATAACAGCAAAGCCCTATTTCCCAGAGCTACCAAAGGAGCAGCTCCCTAAAAGAACTTCCCTAATGGCCCCTGCCAGCCTCGCCACTCCAAGTGGCTGGAGCTGTGCTGCAGACAGGTGCAGGGAGGGGCGCTGTGCTGTCTTCCTCAGTGCCTGGGTGGACGAGAGAATCTGTAGGCCAAACCCTGCGAAAATACTCTAACAGGGAAAAAACTGGAGCAAGGAGGTAAAATTGGGTTTTTTGACCTTCTGCTCTGAAGACTATTGATTTGTTTGTCAATAGGAAACTTAGGCATCTGTTCTAAAATGGGGCACAATCTTGAGGCTGAAGCAGGTGTGTGGTTTTCATCAAAATGCAAGGTGGAGCAAAGAATCAGGAGGAGGGAGATCAACCCTTCTGGGTGGCAGGGCAAGAACCCAAGAGACTCAGAGAGAGCAAAGAAGTTACCACTTTAATTAGAAAGAGATGTATTTTACCTACCCTCTGTCAGACTGAACACTTATGGCTAATACCTCCCGGAAGCAAAACTTACAAAAAAAAAAAAAAAAAAAAAAAAGTGAGTGGGAAAGACTTATTGCTGAAAAAGGAAAAAAAAAATAAAAAGCATGTGTTTCCCTAGAGGTTCCCAGGGAGGGGAGCCTGCTGCATGGCTCCGCAATGAGGTCAGGGTTCAGTTGTGGTTTGTAGCTGAGATGCTATGTCATCCTGTGACAGTGAGAAAGTTTGAGAGACTAGCCCAGTGAACTGCATTTGGAGATCTTCCTGCGACCATGGCTTAGGCCAAAGTCAGGACATTTCCAGCAGCTCAGAGGCTTCCTGGTTTTCTCTCCTACTTAGTCCTCTAGTCCCAGTGCAATGTGTCTCACTTCTTACCTTCATTAATTGCCCCTCTTTATAACGCCTGTAAGTATGTTCTCATTTGTGCCTTACATCTCTCAACCCTGCAGTTCAGCCACATGGAAGCCTGAATCAAGGTTCCTTTTTCTCACGCTGGGAAACAGTTCACACTGTGTGAACAGTCCATAATTTGTTTACTCATTCTGCTGCTGACAGACATTTGGGTGGTTTCCAGTTTGGAATTTTTTTGCATAAAGCTGCTCTGAACGTTGTTATAGATGCATATACAATGTGTGGACATAAACACTCATTTCTGCTGGATAGACGCCCAGGAGTGGAGCTGAACGGATCTCAGTGCAGGCAGGCAGGCATATACTTTGCTCTAACAGATGCTGCTGTGGGTTTTCCCTGGCGGCTGCATCACTGTGCTTTTCCAGTTGGAGTACAGAGTTCCAGTGGCTCTTCCTCCTCAACAGCACTTGATATCATCGTGGGGGAAAGGTATCAAAGTATCTTCCTGTAGTGTGCACCTAACACTCAGGATATTTAGCCCCTTGGCATTTGCTAATTAGCTATTTTGAGGTGATGGGAGGTGTTAGAGGCCAAGCTAGAATAACATCTCTTCCCCACTGCTCTCCACAGGTCTGACCCCTATTTAGGAAAGAAGATAAAGTTAACCAAAGCTGGCCTGTGGTTCTACATTCAACAGGACTGAGCATTTCTTTCTACTCTCCAGGGAAGTAAGATGAGCTTTCCATCATGGGCTACCCATCCTCAGTCCCTTGCTTTTCTGCAAATCATCTTCTCCTGGCTCCTTTCTCTCTGCTCAGAAACCTGCCCAAGGCTCTCCTGTCCCTCATGTGCAGTACGTGCTGCAGGCTCCTTTCTTCCTCTGTGGAGTGGGGAGCTGCCTGTCTGTTCCTCTCCCATCCAGGGCTGCTCTCCACACTACAGGATGGGCTTTGCTGCTACCACTACACATAGCCTGGGCACAGGATGCCTGTCCTTGTCCAAGCTGGCAGAGACATCTGGGGCCGTGTTTCACTTCTTAGAATTCTCTCTCCCTTGATGCAGATCACCCACACTCTCTCAATTTCTATCAGATGCTGCTAAATTGCTCTGCAGATTCCTTTATGCCCTCAAATTGAGGTTTCATCCCTATTTTTAAAAAACTTATGAATTTTCCTTATATAAATGCACTCTTATTCCTCAACTACCACCCATATGCTGATGCAAATGAATCTCCCTATATATATATATACATACACTTTATATATATATATATATATATATATATATATATATATATATATATTACTATAATACTATACTATTCTGCATTACTCATCCAGATGCCCTCTTGAGTCTACAGCTGAGCACAGCATCTCAGGCATCTCAAGCCCTGCAGTTTCAGCTTTGAGCTCAAGATTTCCCCAGATCTGATCTTTCGCAACTATTTTCACTTTTCACAAATTATGCCACCAGCTGGCAAGGCTGGAAATACAGGGTAGATTCTCCTCTCTCTTCCCTGGCCCTCAATGATGTTGTCTTTGGCTCACTGCTAATCAATATCTAAACTGATCATCTCATCTAATGCATCTTTCTTGTCATGGGAGTCAGAAGGCAAAAACTGCTACAAAGTGAAAATCAAGCTAAGATATGTTGTGTGACCACATTTCTCATCCTGCTTCTTGTGAAGGCAAATTGATTTTCTTAGTGTTCTACCTCAAACAACTGGGAGAAGCTGCTTGAAATATGTTATTGAGAAGAACAATAAAGGCATGCCTGAACCTGGAAAGGAGTGCATTAGTTATGTCTGCATGGAAAGCAGTGGGAGGAGGTATTTGAAATCATTATTGAGACAAACTTTAAAGATATGCCTGGCTCTGGGAAGGAGTGCTACAATCTATTAGTTATGTCTGCTCTGGGCACTGGCATGGGCATGGCATACTTTCTGAGCTCTGTAACTTAACTATGGGTTTCTTACTATCAAGAACACTCTTGCTTTTCTGTGCCTGACAAACACTTACTAAACTTTGAAGATTCATCCTGATTGCTCTCTTCCTTTATAACAGTTTCTTCAAATTTTCTAGTTTAATCAGTCTCTAGACTTCCTGGCCTCAAAGTTTCTTATGCAAATTTTATTTTTTCCCCTTATCATCTTGTTCTGGGCTCTTCAGGACCCTTGTAAATTCTCAGGGCATGACTGACAGGATAGAATAACAGAGGAACACACTCACCAAGCAGCTGATTGGCAGACGAGGTGGTGAGGTTGAACTGCTGCTCCAGGTACTTTCCTAGGAAGGCGGCAAAGCCAGCTACCACTGCAATCTCCATGCAGGCAGCCAGAATGATGCAGGTGAACACGGGGTTGGAGAGCAGGTGCTTGGTGACCTTCGGGATCACTACATGGAGGAAAAAGTGGCAGCAGGTCAAGGGTCAAGGTCACACATACTGAGCTTCCATCCTAAGGCCTCCTGCTTTTTCTAACTCACTCTTGCCGATCTCTGTAAGTAGCATCAGAAGACACCTGGTTGTAAAGGCCAGACCCTACACAGTACAGGTTGTCCATAATTATGAAAATCATGGGTTCAAATCATACACTGGGATTCTGCCAATTACTCTATCTGCCTCTAAAGTGGGGGACTAGCATGCCTTTTCTTACAATTCACTAGAAATACCAAAAGTTTTTAAACAATTGTAAGATGATCTCCACCACCATCATCAAAAAGAGAAAACTTTAGAGTCTGCTTCTCAAAAGAGAAACTAACTTTACTTCATGCAGATAGCCAACATGAACAAGGAGACCCAGCCAGATCCATCTCTGCTTGCAGACTGCCACCATCAGAAGAAGGCTTGCTTCCTGTAGGCAGCCAGGGTGAGCAGGGAGACACAGCCACATAAGCTCCATGCATCCACAGGCGACCATTGGAGACCCTTGCTTCTTTTAGCAACCAGTGCCACCAGGAGAATCAGACACATCCCTGTTTGCCTGTGCCTGTGTGTCTGCTTCCATTGGGGGGAGTCCTCGTGTAGACAGAACTGTGTGCCTGCTGCCATTGGGGGAGTCCTGGTGTAGACAGGACTGTGTGCCTGCTGCCACTGGGGGAGTCCTGGTGTAGACAAGCATGCTGAGAGAAGAAATAGCTCCATCACCACACCCCCTGGTCACTGGGGAAGCCCCAGTAGAGCTGCATGGGTCCAGAGAAGCCCACCCCATTCCCTGCTACCTCCCTGGGAATGTGGTCAGAGAAACCCAAGTGCTCGTCCCTTGTGGTACTCTATACCACAGAGGGGCAGCCAACATGGGAAGTTCCTGGGACCCCACAAACAGCTTGCTGGGAGGAATCCAGGAGAGTGTCAAGATGAATGAGCAAAAGGCATTCTCAGACCTGCAGCCCACACAGAACAGGTCTGGGAGATACAGTCACAGAATAGAATGGAAGTGACACACTTGAAATCTCTAAGAGGATAGCAGATGAAATAAAGGAACAGCTTCATGAGGCTGTAAAAGTAATCACATGAGAAATAATGTCTCAGATAAAAGAAGAAATCACAAGCATAATAAAAGAATTGCCAAGCAATATGGAGAGGAATTACAATGCATGAAGAAGACTCAAAGAGATATCCAGGAAATTAAAAAGTTGATCAAAAGCTGGCAAAAACCACTTGAAAGAGACTGAAGACAGACTTTCAGACCTTGAAGACAGGATCACAGCTAGTGATCATGAAAGGAAAGATCTCTTAAAAATAACAAAGAACCAGGAATAACAATTCAATGACTGAAAGATGACTTAAAGAATAATAAGAGTGATAGATATTAGCAAAGAAGCAGGGGTCAATACAAATGAAATAAAAAGGCCTCTCATAGAACAGAGAATTTCCCAAACATGGGAAAAGGATCTGGCATGCACATAAGCAAGATATATAGAACTCCAACTAGCCATAACCAAAATAAATCTACAGCTAGACATATAAAAATCAACATCCCAGAAATTCGGCACAAGAACAGAATATTAAAATCTGTCAGAGAAAGAAACAAATCATCTATAAAGGAAAACAAATCAGAATCACAGCAGACTTGTCAACACCAACCATCAAGTCAAGAAGAATTTGGAGTGAAGTGTTTCAAATCCTGAAAGAAAACAACCTCCAACCCAGATTGATGTACCCTGAAAAACTATCTTTCAAAATTGATGGAAAAATAAGATATTTCCATGACAAAGAACAACTGAAGGAATTCATGACCACTAAACCAACCCTATAAAGAGTGCTGAAAGGTATTCTGGAGATGGTCATCTTTATCAGGAAGAGCAGCAGAAGCAGATCACCAAACAAAACAGGCAACTGATGAAGAGAAAAAGCGGAGGGCCAACAGCAAGAGGACAGCATGGCAGAGATGAACTGATGCATATCAGTTGTAACTATTAATGTAGATTGCCTCAAATCACCAATAAAAAGAAACACAGGGAGAGAAGATCAAGAAACAAGATCCACCAATATACTGTATACAAGGAACACAGTTAACTGGAAAGGAAATTCATACTTTGAAAATCAAAGGAGAAAAAATGATTGTTACATATGACAGGAGACCAGAAAAAAAGCAAGGGTAATTTGCCCAACAACTGCAGAATGGATAAGATATGGTATTTTCATAAAACAGAAAGCTACCCAGCTATAAAGTGGGATAATCTTGAGGCTCTTATAGGTAAAAGGATGCAACTGGAGATCATGTTCATGGGTGAAATTGTTTCAGATATATGGGTGAACACTGAGTTATCTCCCTAGCATAAAAAACTGAAGGAGTTAGTGAGATCCAAAGAGCACAATAGATATTATGAATGTGATAGAGGAGGAAATGTCTAGGACGGGAGGGTAGTAATCAATATTAATTTCATATTATCTTGTTTTGAATTCTTGTATTGTTTTCATAACTTTGTTAGGTTTGGTTTTGTTCTGTCTTGTTTTGTTAGATTCTACTGTGTCTGATGGTATGGACAGCTATTTCGAAGATAACAGGATGTATTATGATAACCACTGTTGATTTACTATTATCTTGCTTTGAAGTCCTATAATGCTTTCACTCTTTTAATAGATTTTATTCTGCTTTGTTTTGATTTTATTATGTATGATGGTATGGACAGCTATTTTGAAGGAAATAAGACATTATGGTAGTCATTGTTGATTTTTTATCATTTTGTTTTTAAATCCTATAATGCTTTTAATCTTTTGTTTTGATTGGTTTTATTCTGTCATGTTTTATTTGATTTTATTATGTGTAGTAGTATAGATGGCTATTTTGCAGAAAACAAGAGACATCATAGTAGCCATTATTTTTTTTCCTATTGCCTTGAAGTCCTGTAATGCTTTTATTCTTTTTTTTTTTTGATTGGTTTTAGTCTGTTTTCTATTATTTGCTTTCATTGTGTGTGAAGGTATGGACAGCTATTTTGAACCAAACAAAAGATATTATGGTAGCCATTGTTGATTTTCTATTGTCTCGTAATGCTTTCATTCTTTTGTTTTGATTGATTTTATTCTATTTTGTTTTGTTTGATTTTATTATGGGTGAAGGTTTGAACAACGATTTTGAAGACAACAAGAGACATTATGGTAGTCATTGTTGATTTCCTGTTGTCTTGTTTTGAAGTCCTGTGTTGCTTGCATTGTTCTGTTGTTTTGTTCTTAAAATAAAAAAGAGAAACATATATGAATCAGACCTACATCAATATATTTAAGTATGTCATTATGTCTATTACTAAATTGTACAATTACACAGTACATGTGTGTCAAGAAAATATATTTCTTAAACAGTTTCAAGAAAGAAATGAAACTTGAGCCCTTCTAAAACAGACATAAGCCCACCCCAATCTCTCCTCACTGCATCCCTATAAACAAGTCCCCACCAGCTCTCACTTGGGGACCATGGCTGATGCAACTGGGTTGTAGTCAGCATTATTGAAACAGTCATTTCCTATATGGCACCCAGTGGAACCAGTGTAAATAATTTTCCTGCTCCAAACTCCACAGTGGCTGAACCCTACCGTTTGCGCTGGGTCCTTGTCTGCCCTCAGTGACCTGATCAGGCTCCCTACTGCACCCCTTCCTTCTGCCCAGCCCTGCTGGTTCCTGCTATTTCTCCCTCACCTGTACTCAGCTCCTCCCCATGCCATGTCTTGTCCTTGGGGCTCTTGTTTACCACAATGCCCTTCCCACATCTCTTCATCCCCTAGTGCAACCTAGAGGAAGCCCCAGGTCCAGGGCTCTGGGGAGAGGAAAATACTCAGTGGCTGTAAATACCAACAGAGCCAGAGAGCAACTGTTGTTGAGGTCTCACATTTCATTATTTTATGGGATTCCATTTTTCTTAAAGCTTGTGGTTTCTTAAGCCATTAACACTTCCCTTTACACTTTTTAATCCTTTGAAAACAATCATGTGAATTGGATATTTCCACCAGTTAGAATCCTTGCACACAGTCTCTTAGTGATGGTGCATGATGTGTCCAGGCAGGACAGAGAGGGCTTTGGTTGTATGAGAACAACCTTGTCATGCCCACATTTATGCCTTTAAGGTAAGAATTGCCCCTCTGTATCTCTAGGACATTGGTTCTAAGATCCCTTCCCCCTTGGGTACCCGAATCAATGCATGCTCAAGTTCCTAATATAAAATACTATTGTATTTACAGATAACTCATGCATATTCTCCCGTGTGCTTTAAATCACTTCTAGATTACTTCTGCTGTAGACTATACTGTAAACACTATGTAAATAATAGTAGCTATATTATATTATCTAGGGAACGATAAGGAAAAAATCCGTACATGTTCGATATAGATGCAGTTGTGTACCAGATATTTTCAATCTGCAGATGGTTGGACCTGTGGATGCAGGATACTATGCATACAGAAGGCTGACTATATTTATGAAAAAGCTGAAAGGTACCTAACATATCATATATTATGGCCCACCATCATTCTACGTTACAATAAGAAAACACCTTTAAAGTCTTATGTAAATGATAAATTGTGGCACAGGTCATATGTAGGTGAAGTTGTAAAGGTAGTGAACCAATGACTAAAGTTAGGGAAACTCTGTTCCACTGAAATCATGGTGTTGAAAAATACTGGGCATGCAGTACACTCTTTTCCACCGGTGTAAGTAGATGATGTAAGATCCAGCCTTTCAGGTGAAACAGGTACTGTACCAAGTCTTAGAAAAACTAATCCATTCCAAATGAACTAAACAGTCAAACTTTGCATTCTAAGGTGATGAATTAGCCATCTGTCCTAAAGAAGAGAGCTCATTACCCAGGCTCAATCGCATCTCCTAGGAGATGGAACCTCTAAATGGCCCAACTAATTAGAATAAAATAATAATAGAAGATACATAAGTTTTTAATAATGTT